AGTCCCTCCTGATGATTATCCCTGCTTTTTCCATGGGGCAGCTTTGCCTTTGTGCTCTTAAGCCTCTTTATTTTATCACATTTGCTGCCAGGTCGTGGCTGTGTGACACAGTTCCAGGGAGTCACTCAGTGTTTGGTGTCTGCACACAGCTCCTGACAGAACAGATCCCTTCCCACCCCATTTCACTGTCCAGGGGATGTTTCTGAAAACACCTTTTCCTAAGTGGAGTGTGAAATTCACATCAACAACAACAATAATATGAATGATGCCTTTTCTGTTAAGATCACCTCCAAGCTTGCACGGTGTGAGCAGTTACTGGAGAGTGCCAAGCACATGATGAAAACACAGATTAATGACTTCGGGAGCTATTCTTTTTGTGTTGCAGTGAGTCACTGTGCCTGGAGCAGGGAGAGCAATTACCTCTGACTCACAGAAGGAAGGAAGAGCCTGATTTTCTGCTCTGAATTCAGGTAACTCAGTCATACTGACAGATGTGATTGGAGCACTGTGTTAGCCCAATTCCAGCGTGTGGTACATCCATAGCAACTTCCTTTTTGCCCTGTTTTTCCCCAAATTGATGTTCTTGTGCCAGCACTGACTCCAAGTGAGCTGTGTGCAGTTGTCAGGCTGCCGTGGGCCAGCTGAGCTGGGCCTGCTGCACCCTGGGGAAAAGGTCACATCCCACACCTGCATTTTCTAAAGAAAGCTCTGTTGCTGGGCTCTCTTTAACAGAACTTGGTTTATTTTCAGCCCCAAGTGGCCGTGGGGAGTTCAGGCTCAGAGCTGGAGGAACAAGGTGTTTACAGAGTTGTTTCCTCCAGCTTTGCATTTGACACTTGTATTCTTGGCTCCTCTTTTGCAGTTTCATTTGATATTCCATGGAGCTGCTGAAATCCATTTTCTCCAGCAGGTGCTGTGAAAATTTCCCTGTCTCAGTGCTGTGGAGTGAGACATCCACTGAGAGCCTGGAGGCTGCTCAGCCACAGCCTGTTAGGGAGGAGCATTCCTCACCTGCAGCTCAGCCTGTGGCCCTGAATTCTCTGGTTTTCAGTGCTGCTTGAACCCTGCACAAATTCTTGCCAATCTCTTCACTCCTTGCTGGTGCTCTGCAACTTTTACAGACTTTTTGTCCCTTCAGTCCCGAATCCAGGCTGTTGACTCAACCCTTAGGAGCTGTGCTGCTGTGAGTTCTCTGCAGCGTTGGCAGCTCTGTGCCACCACCTCAGGTCCCGCAGTGGTGCAGAAGTGCTGCCCAGGGGTGATTTTCCTGGCTGGGCAGCTCGGGGAGGGCTGTGTGACACTGGAGCAGGGGCTTGGCTCGGCTTTCCGCTCCCACAGCTTCCCGGGGCAGCGGCAGGCAGAGATAAAGGGCTCGGCGTGCTGGGGAAGGGAGGGCCCTGCTCCCTGCAGATCCCTCTGCTGATTGCAGAGCTGAGCTCAGAGCTGTGGTGGGGGGCCCAGAGGAAGCTGCAGTCACTTCTCAGCAGGAAGGAAAATGACCACATGGAAGGGTGGTTAGAGCAGGGGGCAGGGGACAAAGGGAAAATGCTCTTTGGCACTCAGGGATTTGCCATGGGGTTGCTCACAGGGCAGGGGGTCTTACAAGTGACATTCAAATCATGCAGCTTTTCCCAGGGTGCTTTTCATGCCTCTTTTAATTTATGTTTTTAACCCAGCACAATGGTGTGGTTTATTGCAGCCCTGTAAATGCTCAGATCACTTGAACATTGTGCCTTACACTACAGAGATGATCCCATGGAGGGGCCTGCCTCAGATATTCTGGATCTGATATCCTTCCACTTGGATTTTTAAATGTTGGTACTGCAGGACTGCCTTGTTGTATGTAAACACGTTAATCCAAAGTCTTCTTTGGGATTTTGGGAAGAGAGAGGGTCTTCATGGAGCAGGAAATAGGGGGGAATGAAGATATTATTGTGTATTTTTTTTATCATCAGTCTCTGGTCTGGCCAGCCTTGTGGTATCAGTATTTTCTTCAGCCTAATTCTGACTATAAATGAATTCCCTCCCAGCCCATAACTGGAACAAAGCTGCCATGTGAGGCAATCCCCAGTGGCTCCATGGCAGGTGTCCCTGTCCCTGCTGCCCACCGGATCCACTGACCTTGTGGAACACAGGAAAGCCAGGCCCAGGTGCTCTCACGTGGCCCCAGCCCCAGGGAGGGACCCGCAGGGGCTGCCCTGTGTTTGTCACACAGGCCCAGCACGTGGGGGACACAGGAACACAGCTGGGACCTTGGAAAAAAGGATGGAGATGAGTTTGTTTGCTTCCAGGCTGGCAAAACAGGACTTCCTGGAGCTGCATTTCTGCCCCAGCTCAGGGCCAGCCGCTGACGTGTCCTGCCCTCGTGAGCTGCTTGTGCCCTGCAGTGACATCTGAGGGGACAAGTCCTGCTGCATAACCTGCTCAGGTTTGTTTTCCTGCTGACATTCCTGCTTGCAAGGAATTCAGAACCCAGTTCCCTCAGGATCCTTGCTGAGGAGCAGCCGGGGCTCCGTTTAGGCTGTGAGGGGCAGTGGTGGAGCCAGGACAGGGAGCAAAGGCACCTCTCAGGGCACTGACACTCCTCTATCAGGATTTTTGGAGTGACTTTGGCCAAACCCTTTTATCCTGCTGGATTTCCTGAGGCCATTCCTGAGTGCTGGCCCAGAGCTGGGCAGTTCAGCAGTGCCAGAATCACATGGCTGCTGTAAAACACACGGGCACCACATTCCACCAGACATTCCACCATCCAGCACAGCTCAGTGCTCAACTCCTTCCTTTCCAAACGTTTTTGTTGCCTTTGCTACCTGCTCCCTGCAATTGGAAACCCAATTTCCTGCCCTTTCATCCTCTGCTTTTTTGATCTCAGCCTCGCTGGTGGGGGTTTTATCTATTTCTGTTTTCTTGTCTCAGGCAGCTTTTGTCCCCTCACTTCCACTTCCTGAGCCTGCAGCTGGGGAGCAGTGAGGTCACCTTTGGGTTTTTGGGGAGGTGAGGGAAGAATGGAGGCTCCATCCTGGGGAAGGGATGGATTTTCCCAGTCAGGAAGGAAAGATGAAGGTGAAAGCAGAGCCTTGCTTTCTGGATGGAGCCAGGTTTGTTTGGACAAAGGAGGATGGAGGCTGGGCTGGAGGCAGGGTTTGGAGCTCCAGTGCCAGCCGGAGCATGGAAGTTGGCTGTGGCTGGAGTTGAGTCTCTGGATGTCTCAAGTTTTCCATGAGGTTTCTTTGCTGATGGAGGTCCTGGGAATGAGTGAAATGACTCCAAAGGCTTCTCATCCCTTGAAATCCCAGAATCCCTGGATGGTTTGGGTTGGAAGGGGCTTTACACTCGTCTGTTCTCCCCCTGCCACGGCCAGGGACACCTTCACTGTCCCAGGCTGCTCCAAGCCCTGTCCAGCCTGGCTTTGGACACTTCCAGGGAACCAGGGGCACCACAGCTGCTCTGGGCACCCTGTGCCAGGGGCTTGCCACCATCACAGGGAAGAATTCCTTCCCAAATCCCATCTAACCCTGCCCTCTGGCACTTTAAAGCCACTGTCCCTTGTCCCGTCAGTGCTGCTCTCTCTAATCACCTGTCCTGTTCTGCCCCACAGTTCCTGCCATCCTCTTCTCCAAAAGCACCAGATCTTCAGGAGAACACCTCGCTGTGCCCAGCTGGTGATGGAAGCAGGCAGGATGGAGCAGCAGAGCCCAGAGCTTTGGGTCACAACGGATCCCTGCCCACCACTGCTGCTGTTTCCTGAAGGAATGAAGGCAGCAGCTCCAGGCTGCTGAGTCCCTGTATCCATGTGGGAATGTGCCCTCCCCTTCCCCCACACACTTCAGTGTCCCAGCCACCCTTATTGGCCCGGAGCGTGTCTCCAAGGCCTGGAGCTGGGGTCACATCATCACCCTGAGCAATAACTCGCTGCTGGCTGTTTCCTGGGAGGAAAGGAAAGGCAGGAAGGAAAAACAACTGCTCAAAATTTCCACTCATGACAAGAAAAAAAAAAAAAAAAAAAGGAAATAAAAGGAAAGCATGAATCAGAGGAGCTGGTTCATTCAGGAACACAGAATTCTACAGAGCAACAAGGACCTGACCTCTGTAGCAGGAGTTTTTGTGCTCTTTATTTATTTGTTGTGGGAGAATTTGGCATAAACAGAGGCAGGGTACGTGACAATATTGGTGACCTTCTGTTCAGAGCTGCCTCAGCCTGGCAGAGGCCTGAAATCCAGCGGTGCCACTGAGCACCTTGGTGCTCCTTGGCCTGCATCCTGTGTGTCCCTCCAGGGGGTCCCTGGCAGCACCCCTGGGGTGGCATCGCCGGGCACCTCTGGCCACTTGTGAGCTCCCTGTCCCCAGCAGGCACAACGAGGGATCCCCGGACGGACCAGGTGAGAGCAGGGAAAGCCATGGGGGAGGGAGGGATGGATGGATGGATGGATGGATGGATCCAGGCATGGAGGGATGGAGGGATGGATGGATGGATGGATGGATGGATGGATGGATGGATGGATGGAGGGATGGATGGATGGATGGAGGGATGGATGGATGGATGGATCCAGGCATGGAGGGATGGATGGATGGATGGATGGATGGATGGATGGATGGATGGATGGATGGATGGATGGATCCAGGCAGGGATGGATGGATGGATGGATGGATGGATCCAGGCATGGAGGAATGGATGGACAGATGGACAGAGAGAAGGATGGATGCAAGAATGGACGGCAGAGTGGATGGAAGGACAGCAGGACAGACAGACGGACTGACCGCTCCCGCCCGGTGCGGGCTCACCCGTACGTGACCACAAGCCCCGCCCCCCGCGCCGCCAAAGGGGCGTGGTCTATCTCACCGGGGACGCTCTCCGCGCCGGGGGCGGGGCCAGACGTGACGCCACGCGGGCCGGACCAATGGGAGCGCGGCGCGGCGGGGCGGGCGCGGCCGCCATTGGCCGGCGGTGATGTCAGGGCGGCGCGGGGCGGGGCCCGGCGGGGCAGAGCGCGGGGCGGCGGAGGAGCCGCGGGTGCGCAGCGGGAGCGGAGCGAGCGGCACCGGGCGGTACCGGCACCGCGGGGACACGGTACCGCACCGCGGGGCACGGCAGCGGCACCGCGGGGACACGGGCGGCGGTACCGTGGGCACCGGCCGGGCGGCAGCCCCGCTCCGCTCCGCTGCGCGCATCCCCGCGGGGATCCGCTCCGGAGCTGGCGGCTCGCGGGGCTCTGCGGCAGCGGGAGGCGGGAGGAGCCCCGGCCGCGGGGATCGCCCTGCGGGTCCCTCCCGGGTGCCCCTTCCCGGGGGCGGCTGTGCCCCCCCAGCCCCCGGCTCAGCCGCTGACGGTGCCGGGGGTGCGGGAGAGCAGCCGGGGGAGAGGTGGGGGTACGGCAAAGGTTGGAGGAAACGGACCGAGCCGCTGATGCGGGCTGCCACGGGACCCCCCGGAATATCGGCTTTCCTCCCGTGTGTTTCAGGTGACAGGCGAGTTCTTGGAAAGCCACGTTGGATGCCAGGCTGTCCAAATGCCAGCCCCCACCCGGCAGCCTGCCCAGCTCCGTGAGTAACCTTCGGTGGGAGCTGCTGTTACTGCGAGTAAGAACCGCGCTCGCCTCGTGCTGCTGGGGGAGAAATTCTGCTGGGGAGGAGGAGGAGGAGGGCGGCAGTGACACTCGAGCCTGCTGGAATCGCTGGCTGTTCTGGCGGGAAGCCCGCAGGAGCCTTCAGCCTGGAGTTCTGCAGAGGGACGGTGCCGCTGGAGGAAGTGGCAAAGCCCTGGCAGCGAGAAGAGCCTGAGTGGGATCATGTCTAAAAGCCAGTGCTCTCCTTCAGTGTTCCTTTAAGCTTCTGCGTCCTTCAGTTCATCTGGTTTTCCCTCACTTCATCTGGTTTTCCCTGTGCCCCATCCCATCTGCTGGAAGAAACCTGGGAGAAGATGCGCTAAGACATCTCGGGAGGAGAGCTGGGATCCTGCCTGGGCGGCTGCCGCAGCACACGGCGCTGGAGGGGAGCAGAGCCAGAGGGAATCGCTGCCCTGCCCAGCTCCTGCCGTGTCCCTGTCCCCGGGCGCTGCTGGATGGGGATCTCTGCTGCAGGAGCAGGCTCCGCACTCCCGGGCGGGCGAGCAGGGCTGGCACAGCTCACCCCTAGATGCTGGGAAGGCCGTGTGGATAAGCTGCTGGCAGAAGATCCCTCCTGGAGCAGCTGCTGGCTGTAGGCCCACCGAGCCAAGGGTCAGAGGAGCGTGTCCTGCAGCATGACTTCCACGCTGGAGCACAAGGAGAACCCCCAGGCCAACGGGGCCGTGGTGCCCGGGGACTGCCTGGCCAGCCCGGGCTGCGGGCAGCCCGCGGATTTCCTGCGGCCCGATGGCACCGGGGTGGAAGTGGTGGTGCTGGAGTCCCGTGCCAACGCCAAGGGGGTGAGGGAGGAGGATGCCCTGCTGGAAAACGGCAGCCAGAGCAACGAGAGCGATGACACCAGCACGGACCGGGGGCCCGAGCCCCCCTCGCCCCTCAAGGAGACCTCGTTTTCCATCGGGCTGCAGGTGCTGTTCCCCTTCCTGCTGGCAGGCTTTGGCACGGTCGCTGCTGGCATGGTGCTGGACATCGTGCAGGTAAGGCTGCTGCTCCCCTGGCACGCTGCACAGCAGGGCTGGCTGCAGCCGTGGGGTGCCAGGGCTGCTTCAGCAACAGGGAGGGGGGAAAACAGCTTTCTCCTGGTGTGCTGGGTGGGGAGATGGGGAGCCCTGCAGCACCTTGTCCCAGCCCTGGCTTTGTACATTAAGTTAATTTAAAGACATGGGAGAGGTGTGAGGAATGAAGGAAGGAGGGGGCAGTGGCTCAGAGGAGAAGGTGCAGCCTGGGAGCTGGGAGCATGGGGAGACAGATCCCATCCCTGCTGCTGCCTGGTGACACCCCAGCCCCGGGGGCTGGCTCCTCTTGTCCCTTTCCCACCTCAGGTGCTCGCTGTGCTGGCCCAGGCTCCTGCCAGCCAGGTTGGTGTTTTCTCTCCGTGTGGCTCATTCCAGAGCTTCCTGCAGCACTTCCCTGTGCCCTGGGGGCACCGGGGATGACAGGAGTGTTCCCCTGACAGGGCTGTGGAGAAAAGGCCAGCAGGGAGCTGGCAGTTGCCCCTGGATGAAAACCAAGGTGTTCCCTGTGGGAATGTGCCAGCCTGGCTGTGTTTCCATGTGGGAACGCCGCCTTTGCAAGCTGAGGCTCCTGTGCTGCTCCCACCACGTTCCCCAAGCGTGCCTGGCAGCTTCTCCTGTGCCCTGAACGCCAGGCCGGGCAGAGCCTCCCACCCTGAGGCACAAAACTCATCCCAAATGGCCTCACCCACAGCTTTGGGATGGGACACGGCCATTTGGGAGCTGTGGGCAACCAAAAAATGCTGGGCTTGGAGCTGCTGGGTGTGCTGGGCTGGGTAAACAAGGCCCGGTGCTGTGGGCAGGGAGAGGCTCCAGTGTCAGTGTCCAGTGCCAGGAAGCCAGAGGGGTTTTTTTGGGATTTGTGGGTGGTCAGGCAGCCTCTCCTCGTGCTGTCCTGCCCAGAGCAGCAGTTTCCCTGCGTGCCTTTGAGCTCTGCTCATCCCTGTGGCCTCTCCTGGTGGGACCTGCCGGGACAGCCGGGAGGTGACTCCAAACAGGAAAGGCTGGACGGGGGAAATTAATCCGGGACGGCTTTACTGGAATCGTTTTCTGAAAAATAAGAACGTTTCAAGCGTGTTTTCCCCTCACGAGGTCCCTGCCTGGCTCTTCTGGAAGTTCCCCAAAGTGATTTGAGCCCAAGCTGAGGTTTTTCCTGGAGCAGGCACAGGCAGGGCTGGGAGATCTGGCTCAGCCCTGATCTCCTGCCCTGATTCCCGTGGCATTTAGGAAGAAAAACTTTGGAATTCCTGCGTCCCACAGCAGCCCAGCCTGTGCTGCCAGCAGCTCCAACTCCCTTCAGCCTTGGGATTCAACCGAGGGGGAAGATTCTTCCAGAACCTCCAGCAGGGCCAGGTCCAGCTCAGCCCTCAGTGCTGCGTGGGCTCCTGGGCACATCCTGCGGTGTTTGCCTCCCTAAAACCAGATTATTTCTGTGTTTCTGTGCTTTTTAGAGGGGCTGTTACAGGGATTTTAACACCTCCATGTCCTGAACTGAAATACTTATTTCCTCTTCTTTCCCTCTTTTTTTTTTCCCCTCTTTTTTTTTTTTTTCTTTTGCCTTTTTTTGTTAAGT